GTATATAAGCTTCTAACATCATATTTAGTCCGGCTCAGACTGTAAAGTTTACTTTCCCTTGAAGCGATGAAGCAAGCGATTCACGCACTACTTGAAAATTCCACCGCCATGCTCATTTCCATTGCCTGTGTTGCTCGTCTTATTAGATGCAGAATACTGAGCAACTGATTCCAGGAATCCTCGTGATCAGTATTTGAACAAAAAAATAATGCAAACGATGTATTCACGTGTGTTTTTAATTTCTCGGTAAAAAAAACTGTGAAAAAGAAATTGTGAAGAAAAAAAACATACTGAAGCCTGAGGGTGGTCTTTCATCAAACGCACTATTCGTTGTTTTGCATTACTGAGACCTCTACCATCTTCTATAGTATCAAAACCACTCGTGAATCGGACGATGACTGTTTGTAAATTTCGCCTATAACGTGAAACGAAATTACAACCTTGACCAAACTGGTCCCTCCAAATTTGAAACACTAAGCTGCTCTGGATGATAAGACAATGCAATCTTTCTGTGCGAACTCATGCCATGTTGGACATTTTGTTCAGCCGGATTCCAGAAGAGGTTATTTGTAGGTCCGTCAAAATGATCTGAAATGTTGTTGATTGAAGTTATGTCAACAACGGTGACACCGTTCTTCATAGGACACCAAAAGCGATTTCTTGGCGTTCATTTTTATTGACGAAGTGTCGTCTAAGGGAGTTGGCTCAGCCTGATTGCGCAGAAAATCAAGATAGAATCTTTGAAATTCTTTACTACTAGGTACGTATAAGTAACCCATCCATAAAGAAATGACTCGTAACACTTATCAGGCTGTTTTCGTGCACTCAAAGGTGTACCTCTCCTGGCTAATAAGAAAACTAGAACCGCGCCGACCTGTCCATCTCAGTTAGACTTCAAATTTTGCGTGACACCTCGCTGAAAAATAACACAGATATTTAAAAGCTCTTACTATATATTCAGGCAACCGCAATTTCCCAGTATATTTGTAACCAAAAGCAACCCCAAGGCTGATATGCCATCTGTTGTGCATCTGTTGCTAGTTAGTATGTATTGTCTTTTCATGCGCTTCGTGCACCTAATTTTCGTCACTGAAAGACATGTGGGCCAGCTTATGTGGGACATTCAAATCAGAATACGATACAACTTTACAAATTGATTTGGGTGCGTTATTCAGATACGCAAGTCTAAGTGAAACTTCAAAGCAGGAGATAGGTTGATTGAGAAAATATATTTCAAGCAGTTGCCTACAGTGTGACAGCACCCCAAATGTGTTGCTTTCCCGTTTCCGGACTACAAACCGGCTGTCACCAGTATATTCGGGTCTTGTGCCCGTTTCCCTCATCTCCCAATATAACGCACGAAGCCCAACAGAATTTTATGCAGTAAAACGCCATCTCAGTGGACAAAATGCCTTCATGTATGGTTTCTGAGCGTGGACCTTCTGGACTACCAATAAACCACAACCTCTTAGCAGTTCTTGATGGAAGGAAAACCTCAGATGGTTCTTGGAAGCTGTTCAATGGAAGACTCCCGGTTTCGCTCTTATCGGGGTTCATCAGATGAGCGCAGTTCCGCCAACCTCACCAATAATGTTATCTGCCAGGAAAACATACTGCGATATATTGCATACCATCCCAGCTGAGGCATGCGGTGGCCGTTGCAAACAAATCCAGTTAAAGAATAGCATCGTTGCAAACAAATCCAGTTAAAGAATAGCATAGTCAGAAGATTGCAGCTAGGGGTTCGGCTAATCTCCCGGTAGCACCAATTTGGTTCGACAGCAGGTATATTCGGCTCGTTGTGTGAATTTTTAATGCTCAGGAAAAACAGATTGAGGGAAACTCTAAAACTATTTTCACCTGATAGGTTCCAAGGAGAAGGGAAACGCTCTTTAACTGTAGAAGCATTTTCAGAAACCCTACGAATATTGTGCTGGACCAACATATATACTTCGGTGTCACAATGACTTTGGTTTCAACAGTAACATGTGGTGGCCTTGGTACAGCACATCTGGTTTGGGAATACCACAAACAAGAGGCAGGGGTGTGATTCGGTTGAATTTCCCGCATAAATTAAAACTGGTTCACAAATCACTGTATTTTGAGAACCCTGGCAGTTACTTCCTTGTGCTCCCGCAGACACCGTGGAAGCTTAGTTAAGCCAAACTTGGCATAAAAACTTTGTTTGCGACCACAAAGTCATTCGTGGCCAGTCTCTGCTAGCGTTCCCACGGTGGGCAGCACTCGACTCTTTCAGATATACATGAATGCGTTTTGTAGCGTGTCAATAATCTCGTCTGAATTTCTACTTGGTGAGACAAAAGTTTAATTTGATTACATGCTTGCTTGGCCAAGAAATGGAACTGCCGGAGAACGAATGGTTCGTGCGAAATGTCTTCTTGGAGTTTATGGATAGATAGAATGATTGATTTAAAAGCGCTTAATGACTACAAAAGAGAAGCATCTATGTATCTGCATAAACTTTACTGGTGACACAATAGCTGAGATGGTAGGGAAAATGTTCCCCCACTTGAACTTACCGTGCAGTATTATGTGCATCTGAACCAACACTTCACCAAAAAAGATAAGATGTTCCATTCTGAAGCAATTTTCTCTGTCTATTCTTCTTATTCCCGTGGAACAAGCTACATTGCATACATGGTCCTTATGTACGAGTATGCGTACGTGAGGAGTGCTTAGCCTGTCTGAACAACTCTGTTATAAGATCCAGCAAAAGCTCTGTGATGGCACAACCCAGCCGTACTAGCCACTGAGTCCAAGTATCAGAACAGTTTCGGTTGATCTACCGAGTACAAGTACACAAACGTACAAGACTAGATTTTTGGACAAACAGGCCTGTGTGACCTCTCTTCGCCTTATATTCAGAGACAATTCTTATGGGACCATCGCTACCGTAGCGTGCTAACCAAATAAATGTTCTCAGGTCAGTCATTAAAATGCTATACGGTAGATGTTCTTCCTCTTAAATTCACCAAAACTACTTTCCTACACACTTTTCCCGTGTTTGTCTTCTGGTCGTTTGTACATCGACAATGCTATGTAAAAAAGAGACGTTTTCCATATTTTCACCTTTTGTGGTCATGCCGTAATTTTTTTCGATCTGTTGAGCTTTGGAAGCTAAAACTGCCATGATTGTTTCTACTAAAAAATAAAGGTGAATCTGTATTCCAAAGGCTGAAATCCCATTGGGGCGGCCATTTTGGGATGCAGCATGATATAATGATTTACTTCATAGACCAGAATTTTTCCAAGAAAACCGACACCATGCCACAGATGTGGTCAGATTCTAAAGTCAGGAAGGATAGACTACTGATCTTGTTGAAAGTAGTCATGTGGATACAGAAAGATCGGATACGTGGTCTTTGTTGTAACGTTTCTGGCTCTCGCGGCATGCCCTACAAAAAGTTTGCCGAACCAGTGAACTTCACTTACGTGAGAAACGTATTTTGAACAGGATATTAACCTGTACGGACGTTAATCCTAAACAGGAGATTCAGATGGATCTCAGGTGAGTCCCCTGTCAAAACCACAATTTGGTATCCAGATGAATGTATACGTCGAAGGTATCAGTCTGGTCATGTATCTATCTGACTACTGACGAACCCTCAGAATGTTTTATTTGACTAAACGTAGATCACCACGGAGGAATTGATATATAATCACTCAATGGTTGTGAGCTGACCGAATATTTAGGGAAAAAGCTCAATCAGACAAACCTCTCCCTTCTTTATAGGACTCATCCGGTGAGTTTGGAGGACCTAATGCCAGAACATGACAAATTTGATAACGTTTCCACGTAAAACCGACATTAAGTAGTCACGTCCAAGGTACGATTGATAGGCCACTAATGTTACTTGATTTCCCTTATGTGAAATGTGTTCAATGGATCTCATCTAGGGTAACTACAAATGCATGCAGTGTATTAATGGTCAGCTAAGGTCAACTTGAATTTTGCAAACAATAAGTCTTGGGTATCTTGGTTGGGCCTCTTAATTACTGTAGTCATAATGGTACACCTGACTTGCTCTGTAAACATTGCTAAAAATTCTTTCTGAATTTTTAAACAAAATGCAGGAAAATGCAGTACAACATTAATGGTTTGAATAACTCAGAATAATGTCACATAGCTGCATTGTTGTTGACCCCTTTTTGGGGCACTTATTTACTTATTCTCCCAGATATACAAAAACTAATAGTTTCAATATCGCGGGCAAAACCTCAGTAGGATCAAAATTCTCCGGTTATCTCAACAACAAATACCTGACCATCCACTGTGAAAAAAAACTGCGATTAAAATATTTGGGGGGCATTTTTTACCCTCGGAATATTGCTCTCTGATTTGACCATTTAATCTTGTGCACTCAGTCCGTTCATCAGGCAAATGCAGTACCGAAGTCAAGAAGATCGAAGTAGAGTGAACTGAAGCAGAACTAGTGGAGTAAAATTTACCGCGGTTGCCTAAATCAGAACTAACTGATTTAAGATTGAATTTGTTCTTCAAATGTGAACTTTGAGTACAAGGACTGTGAATCAAATTTACACGCTTGGGAATGGATAGATTAGATGTACTTTGGGCTGGCGTTCCAATCTTCTCCAAATACTTAGATAATTTTGATCGATTGGTTAAGCACCAAACTGGTAAATCTGTGACCATTAGGGATGAAGTGTCCATATCTTCAAGTGAAAAATGGAATAAGTGACTTTTCAAGCACACTATCAGGCTATCTGTCCACCAATAAAAAGACAGCAAACTCAATTTTGAAAAACAGGTCAGTGGTACAGATCACTGTATCTGGTGTTCTAAACCTGCGGTGTTGTAACCGTAACAGAGCCGTCAGTGAGCTGGAGAAATAGTTACTCAAAATCTTCAACCTGAGCCCTCGCTCTTCCGATCACCGCACAAGTCAAAGGTTCTCCGGAATTCCCGGTTGTCGAACTCAGTGGATTAAGACCCACGCCAAGATCGTCNCGCACGCACAAGTCAAAGGTTCTCCGGAATTCCCGGTTGTCGAACTCAGTGGATTAAGACCCACGCCAAGATCGTCCACCCGATCCTTGATGACAAGCGCCAGACCGATGAAACCTCGCGACGGGTCGTCCTCAAAAGGCCAATAGACCAGGTCGAAATGCATCACACCCTGGTCATCTGTCTTCAAATTGCCGAGATCGCCAGCATGTCGATATTTAGCTCCCACATCTCCATGTGTTCTGTACAGGGAATTTGAAATATGACGCTGATTATCTTTTAATCATAAAGTAAAATAATATTTTTGTTAGTAAGGGGGGCTAGCGCCTAAGGTTGTAACGAAACTCGGAACAGAAATAGAAATTTCGGCTTTCGAAAACTATAGGATAAAACTGTGACATTTTTTGTTTGACGAACAGGATGTTTAAGTCCCGATGAGCAATCAGGGACAGAGGAATCATCTTGAGGGGTATTTTTCCTACTTCAACTGGAAGGTGATATAGGACGAGTTGTTTCGAACAAGTGAACTAAGGTAAACCAGAATGGACCAGTTAGGTTATCCAGAAGAAACAAAGTTTCACACTGATCAAGAAATCACGATCACCTTCACTCATTATGCAGAGTTTTTGGTGCTCATGGTACCCATGTGATGGATTGGCGTCAGATTTCAAACTGACCGCTCACATCGAACGAACCCGGTCAACTACACGAGGATTGGGTAGTGCATATGTGCTGAGTGGAGTGTGAAACCACCTGAACGGACTATATCAGGCTGGACGCCGACAGAATAAAACCTGAGTGCGAACAGGTGGGTGCATTTCTAGAGTCATCAGCTTGCCCGCCTGAAGGACCTGGACAACAGAACAGTCGAGACCGATGGTACATGCAAAATGTGATTCGATGGTCCGACCCGCTCGTGAGATATACGTAAACCATACAAAGAACCCCATCTTGTGTTAGACACTATACACTTTCGTCCATACAGTAACGATCACAGAGATTTATTGCCAGAACCGCTGTCAGCTCAGTACCCGGAATGACTAGAATGTCATTGCGGGTCATCTACAGATAGATACACGAAGAAAATTAAGCAGAACAGAATAGAATAAATTAAACCATACCGCAGATCATTACAGTACGGTAAAATGAACACAACAGATATTATCTAGCAGTGAAAACAACGAACAGCCTGGTAACCCAAACCACGGCCTATTGGTGGCAAACAATTAGAATCATTTGTGTAAAGGGGGCAAGTACAACTAAACAGTTGGTACTCACAGTTTACGCAAAACATTATCTCTTGGCTTGCACCACTTAGAAGACAAACCCAAGGAAGAATGGATAAAGTAAGCCAATAACGGTCAATATGCACTTTACTCTCTACCATGATAGTCACGAGAACACACTCCCAACACTTTTCTGAGCCTAATAATCCGGGATATCTATTGAACTAGTCAGATTTATCAGAGTGAGATGGGCATAGCCCGACAGTTGAGCTCAATGACGTCGGCTGCAAACAGACTGGAGGCTACAATACTAATAAGCCGAGTCTAGAACATATTCACCCATCATTAGGCTTTATTCCCCCCACAGGACGATAAACGTCGAAACCAGCTTCTAGTTTGCACGCTTAAGCTCTCCGACTCAAAGTTACCGAACACCGAATTAAAATCGTCCGGTTTGTATCGTTTCCTTTCATACCATCCTGTCTTATGACTTCGCATCCCGCTTCACACGATTTATTTCAGAAACTTATAGACATTCGGCCAAAGTATATTAAAGCTTTTTCTAACCGAATTCCGGCTCTTCGTGTCCTTCTAATCACAAATAAGCTCCTGAAAATCCTGTTCTAATTTGTTCGGAAAGCACGTTTCAGTCACCGCAGACGGTTGGATGGGATGATGGCCAACATTCCATCTCACCATCTGAAGAACGCCTTGACCGGTACTTGTCCCGTCCAGCTAGCATTAAGTCTACTTGAAGAGTGTTCAAGAAACATAGGTTGCTTCGGTAGATGGTCATTGTTTTGAAACATCACAGAAGAAGAAATACAACCATCTTTTAGACGTGCAGCTTGGTCTGCTGCAGTTCCTCCACAGTCGTTTCCCAATGTCAATGTCAAAAGCCGAGCTAGCACTGACAACAAGGGACCTCATATCAAAGGTAGAGGGTCAAGAGAATAGACAGTGCGCTCTTGAGGTAGCAGAAGTTCTTCGATTAGTTCACAAACTCTTTTTTAATCCTGATGCGCAAAAGAGTATGTGGGACCCTATATGAGGCAAGCTGGTGTGATGTAAAAAGCCGCGGCTGGGGACTTCTTCGCAACGCAAGGCACTTCATTATGCATCATCATCAGGTTCGAACATTACACATTCGTCACCAAACATGAAAGCATCCACTTAACCCCTAGCAAAGAATCACGCCGTAACCCACTGAAAAGTTGTAAGTTAAACCACATTATATGTATAGGATGATTCTTTTTCACACACACACGGTGACCAACTTGTGATATATAAACATATGGCTAACAGGTTCATAGGTCCGTTCTATCGTGCTGTTCAAGTCGGCATTAGATATCCATCTAGGAAAGCATAAGCTTGATCCCCATGTGGGAAATATTTAAAATTCGATGTCACAAAATCACACTAGCTATTTTCGCTTGCATGTGGTACTCACATTTTTTACCTGTTACATTTATATGTAACCTGCGTGTAAACTCCTCTCTGCTCACATCACAATGGTCTGAGCGAAAGTTTTCCCAAAGCTTATCAACGCATCAAACCTTTGGACGTTAATAAGACTTTCCACTCCTGGTGTATCCTCAGCTCATTTGTCTTCCCTCCTTCCATATTCACGAAGATGTTTACACCAGTAAATTCCATTTGTACTTCTAAGGTCTCCGTCATCTCGGAGTTCATGTCTGTCATACCTTCAGTCTTGCGGCTCTTGCGACACGCACTCCACCCAAACCTACCTCGGTGAGCGCATTTCTGATAAAGTTCAAACAGTATGATTGCAAAGGTAATTCTCGTACATTTTTAATCCATCCAACTACTTTGTAAGCTCTTCTGGATGGAGAACACTGGGAGGTAACGACAACAGGGAAAATACCTGGCAATAATGGACAACGATATGAAACCACAGATTCTGTGGCCGCTGCATTGGACTATTTCCTTTTGGATCCGATGCAGTGTTTCACTGTTCCGGAACCGTCAGTTATGGATTCTTTATTATTGTGGAGGGAAAAATTGGTAGCTCATGTTGTGGCTGAATTGTCCTTAGAGAGCTTTATGTTTTTGTTGCAGACGTTTCATGATTTCAACTAATCGAGCTGAAATCACCAACGAGTTCTGGTGTAGCAATGTGATGTGGCTCAGCGCTGTATCAGGGTGTAGACCAGTGCGATATTCTACTGTTGCATGCTTGGAACTAGAGTTTAGATTCTCTCTGTATGCTGTAATCAACTCCACACTGCAGCAAACGGACACTGCGTTACGTTTCCTTTTGGTGATCACTCGATTTGTAAAATCAGTCAGATTAAAATCTTGGTCTAACCTCGATCGCGACTAGACACGGGTTCCCGAGGGGAAGTGTGAGTTCCAAAGGACGTTTTTCATGGTTGCAAAGTCTCTGCGAATAGAGTGACGTAGTCTTATTAACGCTGAATCCCACTTCGGTGACTTTTATCTTCTTTAATTGACCTGGCATCAACAGGACTGACTAGTTCGTACTCTTCACTCAGATTCTTAGTCTCTGTAAAGCGCATCAGCAATAAATATTTCGAGTCCTTCTTCGAGCAGCTACTTCTGGTTCTACACGCTCTGCAAATGTTTTGATGCATTGCCTGGGGTGTTTCCACGATTAAGATGAAATGCTGTCGTTCTTGTTGTTAACCACATCCTGAAACGTTCCGAAGCGAATGTCACAGACATCATTCCTGTCTCCGGGTTAGCACAACCACTAACCCCCCGCTACGCATATAACTACGCACTGATGATGTCGCCTCGATTGGCGATGAAACGTTTGCAACCAAATTGGCCAGCTCAGCGAACAAGCCAACGACCATCTACGCTACCTGAGCTACCGACTTCTCCTCTATAGATAGATCAAAATTGGTTGTTGGTCTGTTCGCCGAGCTTAGCAGTTGGATTGCATCACCAATCGAGGTAACAACATCAGTGCAGGGTTGGGTTGAGTAACCAACTGAACGTCTTATTTCAGCTATCAATTGAGCAATGCATCAAAACTCAGTTTTCTGCTGAACGTGATCATAAGGTATACTTGGGGCCTGCGCATGAGAGTTCGGGACTTTTTACCATTGCAGATTTCAGTTTGGCTACCCCAGCCGATATCATCTTCCACTTTAGCACATTGATACTGGACACCAACAATCAGACTCACTGTTCTGAAAGACTCCAATGTGAACCGACGTTCTGACAGCCGTTGTTCAAATCCCCATTTTCGTGTACATGGACCCCAAGTGTCTTGTTCGGTGGAAGTCCCGTAACTGATCCGTTAATTTGGATATTTCCGTTGGCTAGTGGCTTAAAACGGACTTGGCCACCATACGGTGCTTCAAATGTTGCAATGCCTGGTATGAGCCAAGTTGGATCAGGCGCAATATTAAAACCTGGTGAAAAAACGACGGAAACTTGAAAAGTATCCAACAATTATAATGGCTACGTTGACTGATATTCACACTATACTAGTGCCCAAAAACTCGTGACTGCTCTCTACTCATAAGGGAAAATATAGCATCCATAGGTAAGGTCCTACTACCCACGGTGTAATTGGAAGGAATAAGTTACAGTGTTCCTCCGTTACCATCTACACAAACAACATAGTGCACAAAATGCACTAAGCACCCTAGTTTTCTCGAATTCCTCAGGTGCCCTAGCATTTAAGGCAACTTCAGGTGAAATTGCAAATACGGGCGAAATTCGCTCTGGGAAAACTTATCGTGGTTTGAATCTAGGTTCAGCTCACCGCGAATTACGTACTCGAGGGGGGGGGCAAAGAGCTACTGGATACCTTCTGAACAGATTAGTAAAACAACCCTACGCTCATAACACCTGACGAGTTTCTTTTTAATTTACGACTAAAAGAACTTTCATATCTGCTTCTTGCCCAATTCCCTATATTGTCCACCTCAATTTCATCCACCTGTGGAGAAAATTAAGCATGATTCAAGCGGTGCCCGAAACACACGATGCTCAGCGTAAGCTCATCTCTTCTGTAGACCCTGAAGATTTAGATCAGGGTTGAATTCAGACGGCAAACGGGTCTGTCTATCGTCTTGCTGTTACAAAGCAGTAGTCGCTTTGGTGGAAGTCAGGTTCAGATGGCAAGGTTTAGCTTTTCGCAGTTCTGGAAGCAGTTGGTTTCGGTCCGCTGAACTGGGTAACTCGAACGTCAATCTCGGTGAGCTAAGATTTCAAACGCCCTTTTCGTCTTCGGTGCACTGACTACATTCGAAAGCGAATAGCACTAGTGAGCTGGAGCCTCTTAACTATCTGTAGAGGGAGATACTCATCGAGCTCAAGTCTGAAGACTGAAGTAAGTGCTGCATGTTAAAAGCTAGCTTGGTGGTCCACTGTCGGATACACATCCATAAAAATGGCTGGCACAAACGAAGACTGCCCTGTGTCAACACTGGCAATAGGTACATCCCACCTAGGCTAACGCAGACAAGTTTGACCGAGTGAAGACTTCTATTGCCCGGTGGTCACGGCAAACGTCATGGTCATTCTCGTGCCTGATTGGTAAGTTATATCCACGTTATGATACTCAAACGGCGCTCGTCGCAAGACTGGAGCGTCGTTTTCCTGGTCGATCAAGTATCAGTATCAAGACCAGTTCACGTATGTTTCAGTGGCAAACGCTCGGAAGAACCGCGATCTAGTTGTCACAACCAAATCATCCATCAGACAGTTCCAGGATCGTCTTATTCTGCCTACTATTCCACCTGGCTCAAACAAACCGTGTCTCTCTTGGAATCCAACTCTGACAATTTGCTCGCTTGTGCTCAACTTTTGACCTTCATCTGAAAGTTCCAGTCTGGCATCAAAACACCGAAACAAGTATTTTAAATCACGATCAGTTGGGTTCCGTTCATCATTTAGAAACGGTGAGACACACAAGTTTATTTGTGCCGTTTGGTTTCCCGGTTGTTTGAAGATACTGGAATTAACTGGACACGACTCGAGAGTTTACCTCTGCAGCAAAGCCATTCCCAAGACAAGGCATAATTTTCCCTTCAAACTGGCGGGTTATTTTGTGGAAGCCCTGGCAATATCACATCGGAGACGGGAGGGTACTATGGTATAGTACTATAACAGTGCGGCATATATTCTGTATACCACTTCAACAGTGAAAGATTTCGGAACTCAGATTGTCCCGGGGGCGAGGACTGACATGTGGCAGGCTTTTCGTTTCATCCTCAGCGTAGTACTGACTGTCATTCTTATTGGTACCCACAACATCCAAGCAGTGGAATCTAGGTAACATACATTTGGAGTGCCTACGAACAGTCTCTGGTTTGTAGAATCTGTGAGCACAGCTCTTATTTGAATATGCTCCTGTCTTTTGAAGATTATTCTGGCTAGCGCGTACCACGTGAACTAGACTCGAGTTTTGCACCAGCTGTGGTGCATTTAGCTTCAATGAGACTTGAACTCCGAACTTCGGATGAACGAGGCGTGATGGACGAAACTGCATTTTCATGTCTGGAAGAGTCATCGTGCTTTAACGATGGTTTTCCAAAAACAGGACACACACCACGCCATCATTAGAGGAGTCGGTCAGAACAGACACATTTCGAAAAGTGTAAATGTATTGGCCTGTTTATAACTAATATACTTGCCCCACTTGTTGGAGGAACACGGCTCTGACCATACAGCTCCAAAAAGGTGCCGTGCAGATGAACTCTAGTAAGAGTGAAACCCCCTTTAGTGCAGAAGGGTTATTGTCCTAATAGGTGTGGTATGGTTAAAATTATTTATTTTCACTCCGTATATCGAGACTAGACTGCATCATTACAGTGAGCCGTGCTCATCAAAAATTTGCTTACGTCATCCTAGAAACAACATCTGGACATCATAGATGACTCACTTATGCAAGCATCAGCACTGGAATAGACGAGTAGGAACAAAACTGCCGCCAAACACCGTGGCTTGTTGCGCAAACTTCCGAGCATTGCTCTGATTGCAGAAGTAGTTGCTAGTTCGAGAAACGACAGGCTATTTGGCCTGAAAATCAACCAGTTGTACAGACAGACCGAATAATTAGGGGGTAGGGCTGTATACGAACAATCAGTTTAGTCACGTGAGGTGATCAGAAAGTGGTTTTTAACATGCACTGGATAAAACATTGGGCGTTGTACGCATTTTGTTATCGATAACTCCTCACAAATTAAGACCTCGAAAGTGATTTTCTGCACGTTATTTTAGTACACCTCAGCACTAGTTGATCAGGACAATTTTGAAGACAAAGTGACCGATGACATCTGAAAAGGTTAATTCTAAAATTGTGAGACAGCATGGCGGAAGCAGGAACGGACAGTATGCTGTAGTAGGCCTTGAAATTGGTCAAATGGTTGAATAATTATATCACTAATGAACAGGATAACACAAACCACAAGAAACTGATAGAGAGATTCCCAAGAACTTTGTAGTTGCCTTCTGACAACAAGCGAAGCCAACGACCGGTATATATATATACATACATATATATACTGCTATCTTTTCGTAGCAGTCGGGTTTCAGTGCCGTAGTTATTCTGCATGCCACACTGAATAAAACGCTTTTCTCTAAGAATAGTGAATGCCAGAAAGGCCAACAGAGAGCAGTCGACAAGGAGCAGGGAGACCTCGTGTCACACGAAACCGTATTGCGAGCCTATTTGTGGGTAAATTTCTACTGTTCGCACCGATAAAAGTGTGAGGACAATAATATTTTTTCTCTCTTTATTTTTATGAAATGAGCGTTGCTGCCTTCATCCGAGAACGCATACTCCGATTGCCCGATGGCTGGCTGTGATCACCGATACATTACCTAACACGGCAAAATAATTTTGAAAATCAAGTGTCTGGTGCTGCTCACGATGCACCCACTGCGCACACTGACAATAAGAATCAGTCGGTTGCACCTTAGTCTCTGGGTCAGATCTTGAAGTCAGTCCCCAAATTAGTCCTGATCTGAAGATTCAGTGATCAAGAAGGGAACGAAAATATTCATTTTACGACTTGACCTGGAACTCGAAAATGTTCCCGAATAACCGCGAAGCCTGGAAGATGGACCTCTCTTGTCAAAAAAAACAGCTCAAACGCTACGAGACAGATCTTTCAGTAATTAGCGAAACCCGACTGGATGATCAAAGAAAGCTAAGGGTGGATGGCTCCGGTTGTACCTTCCACCATATTTTCTATATTTTCTGCGTGGCGCCTGATTCGCATCTGTGAATTAAAGATCAATGAATCGAGTGAAATGCCTTAAACTTTAGACCAATAACCATTTGATTTGGGCTATCAAGGGTGAAGTTTGATACATTTTTTGGCGCCTGGGACCGAGTGTTACACTCAGATGTCCCACTTGAAAGGATTCTCAAGCCTACTCCTAGTTTCCCATAGGCTAATGTGACGCTCCGGTTGGTAAGAACCTAAAAGAAGACGCTGGATCCATTTAGAATCGGACCAACAAAGACAAAAAAGGAAGGCTACTTAGGACAATTTGAGCTCTATACAATCAATAAGCTATTTAATGTAGGGAGAATATCACTTGCTTGATAGACTCATCCAGGAAGCAGATACCTAAACGACTGTCATTGTGCGGCAAACAAATTTCCGCAATGTACCAAAATTTATCCACGGAGCCGAATACAGTTCGGACCGAAGTACTCATAGTACTCGGAGAAGTGCCACGTCGTGGATCAAGAGGGAACTCATCTTAGTTTGATATAAGAAGGGTGAAGAATGAGGAAACTGAATCAAATTTTTGCGGACCACTAATACAAAGGCTGGCGAAGGATCAAGTTCCAAACACACGAAAGACATTGGACCCAAATGCACACACACATCCAAACAGTTGCCATGGCAACGACTACACCACAGCAGGAAAGAGGAGATTGTCCCATCGATATCTCCCTCGATTTTTAGAAAAGAATTTGGCGTTCGGCAAGGCGTTCCAAAACACGACAAAAACAAAGGCCTGAAAACAATTCAGAGGCACCAGGATCAAGATTCTAAAACACCTGCAGGAAACAATAAAATTAGTACTTTACCAAGAGAAGTGAAGAGCTCAAGTCGTACGCGGACTGACAATGCCCCAAAAAACGAAAATTTAATACATTCAGCTGACAGAATATAGACAAACTGATAAAAATTAATCAAGCCCGGCGAAATTCCGGCGGCTGGGAGACCAACAATACTCAGTTGGCCAGGAAATTCCGATTTAAGCCGCATAGTCCATCCGCCCCTACCTACAGGTACAGAACTGCAGAGGGTCATAAAACGACTATGAAATGAGAGTTCGGCTGGATTGGACGACCTTCCCGTTGAACTATTAGATGTAGAAGGACCGATGGGACGAAATTTGCCTCCCGTGCAGAATTCGGGGAGCTGGACGATATTCCGCAGAAATTCATGGATGCAAAGATAATTTATGGTCTTAAAATGATGGAAATCGTCTGAGGAAGACCAACTTCCCCGGAATTAGTCTATGGCTCGTTTCCTGCTCAACAGTATTGCGGTCGATAGCATTTTGAGAGAAAAGGTTCCTAAAGAGCAGCGTGTTTCAACGTGATCGAAGTACCCCTGACTCAATTTTTGACGCAAGACAAATATAAGGCTGTGTCATGGACGGGGTCAATCACTCTACGATCGGGTTGTGGACCCCATATAAGTTATCCATCCCTTCAACAGGGAGGCTCTGTGGATCGTCCTACGAAGCCCGACTGTCCGGGCATATTTGTCAGAGCGGTCAAAGTGATTCATACTGGGATGAAAGCCTGGGTGCTAACCTGTGCAGCTATCTCGAACGAACAAGACCCTGACCTTTAGAAGGCGATATATTCCGGTTCTTGACTGATTTCATGTACATTATCTGCGCAAAATCATTCGGATCCAGTGAACTGAAAATACCGAGCACCGAAGTCCTTGAAAGAGCACATGACGCTGGAGTCAACTGCAGTCTAATGCCCAGTCAGCATGGAGAACACCTTAACTAGGAGGCGTTGGTAGAGTTCAGCTGCGATGCGTTACGGTGCTGAGACACTACCGGGCCAATCGACAAAGACTGAATCGCTCCGGTGCAGCATCATGTGGGTTTGTGCGAAGTACGGATGCACTTACCTCAGCAATATCGGCTTTGTGCGTCACTGGGTTACTCATCAGTCCATCCAATAAACGTAATCTTTTGGAGCCCAGGTAAATCTGTTCTATTTTCTAATGATTTCCCGCCCGAAATCGCCATCATATGGATAATATAATGAACCCTCAGCAACATGTTGTCCGTTACCACTTGGACAGTTTGCTAATGCGTGACCCTGGTAACAATCGCATTGTGCTATACTGGAGAAGCTGTAACATTACTTGAAAACTTAAAGGAAATGAGGAATGAAGCTGGATTGTCGGTGATGAGCAACTCGCTGGTACTGATAAATTTGTTATGCTACCATATTTAGGCGAGCTAATGGCCTCTGCGAACCCTTGTCAAGTAAGAATAATGGAGCACTTGAGAATATTGGTTTGCCCAACCAAAGTCACGATTTTTCATTGTTCATGAGATGCATTTTTGTGACAATGCCACCAATTGGTTGATCTACCAGAAAAATGTATATACTTACTCGACTGAACTCACAACTCATAAGGTTGCTGAAAACGCCGTGACACATAGTGACCGGTTTCGCTTTTCTCGGAGCTCATCGCGTAGTCAAAGTCCCTAGAGTTTTCGTTAGTCTTATGTTCAATTTAAACACCAAACTATACAGGTTCGCCAGATACACCCATTTGCAAACCAAGTTAATCTTAACGAGTGTTTCAAATGAATCGTACCTGCAGCCCTCGTCTGTGATGCTCTCTAACTGAATATGAGGCACAAAAACCACTTCATGTTCCAGCTGGGGGATTTTCAAGATACCGCAATAAATTTTCTCGGCGACACACATTACTCACCAGGTTGCTTAGAAACTCTCATGGGGAAATGTACATTGAAATCCCAGAAGGACAACTGCATTTTATCATGTTTTTGACAAATAGGCCCCCTCCCGTGTTCTATCTTGCTAAACTAATTTGAAACGATCCACAAACGTTCGTAAGGATCCCGCACATCTTCAACCAAAGATATTACCGTAGCAAAAATGCTCATCTCATCTTGGTCTCGCTAAACTCATGTGAACCATGTATGGAAATAAAGAAAGATGATTGTTGGTACCAATTTAATTCACGCTAAACAAATCACATCTCTGGATTCCAGATGAGGTTCTTCGATGGTAAGTTAACATACAACAATCTAATCTGAAGGTGAACCGAAAATTTATTCGGGTCCACGGAGGCTATTGAAGTGAGGCTGATATTGCCTTTCATGGGAGTGTGTTATTTCAGGCTAAATCTTCAGAGCCATTTATCACTTTAGGAAGCTGGCTCAGATTGATTCTACCAAATCGGGCAACGAAAATTTTGAACTATCCTACCTACTTAACCAACATAAGTAATGGTCGACGAAGAGCTCCTTCAGAAAAAATTATGCAATAAAATATGCTAGAATTCCTTTAAACTTTAATCTTTGTTTAAATCCTGGCCCTCAACATTCGGTAGGACGTCCTGTGATTGGCCCGCAAATTAATGCAGACCTAAAGTGTGCCCCACGAGAAACGCTCATGCAGACGGAGGCCTGTTGTTAATGCTCTAACGGAACCCGAAAACTAGTTATACGAACGAGAAAACGGGGAGCACTAACAATGTCCGCTTGTTGAGCAAAATTATTACAATAGATATATATGCAAACAAGGGACTTATCGTTTTGCAGGTACAGTTTGATAAATCCTGTTGTAAATCCGGATGCAGGTTTCGTGTCTTCTTCGCTGTTGTAACAGCCACACGTAGTCCTGGATATCCGTGAGTGAAACGCCGTAAAGATCTTGAACGGCTCTGCTCCGAGCTGGACGACGTGCGAAGCTCTGTTGAGTCATGTCGTGTTGCTGTGCTGGCATACTATTTGTAGGACGTTTGCGTGTGTGTGGGTGTCAGCACATGACTTTTTGCTACCGTATCAGACGGTAGACAGTCGATATCGGATGTGTATCGTGGTTTGTACTATTAGGGAAAAAAGAACGAGGTCTTGGGATGAAGGGCTTGACCGTGAGCTGCATAGTCAAGTTAGTCACGATTGTAGCGTGATTTGTGAGTGCAAGGAAAAAAATAGATCTCGTGATCCAGCGAGTGGCGGTGACCTGTACAATCATGTATGTGGCGAAAAGGTAGCTACAATGTCAGCGACTAAAAGGCACCAAGATTGTTTCCCATTGAACAAATTCGACAAGGTTCGGAAGGCAGTGACAGGGCCGGGTACTCTGCCGCATCCGTCCAACACGCTGCAGTGCTCATGAGCTAGAATAGTGCACCTAAGTGTGTGGATGTGTGTTCCTATCCCATGCTGAATTACGATTGGCTATGTGCTACCTTGGCTGTCATTAACCAGGATAGGACAATATAAAAGCATATGACAGAAACCAATAATCCCCCATATCGTTGCACCAGCATTACAGCTGTAATTCTCGGTTCTCCGACAACTAACCGATTTGTCAATTAGGCTTTAGCCTACGATTCCTGATGGTGACCACCACTCGTTGGCTAGAATCAATGTGGCTCACAAATCGGAAGATTTTACACACATCAGATTGGCGGCAGGCTAACCTTGGAAAATGTGACGGAAGCCATCGGGGAACGAGGAAATTAGTAGTAAGGATATTTAGGTGTGAGTTGTACGTGGTAGTGCCTAAATGTATTCCGAGAAGCTAGCAAGCTTCAACCTTAGGTTGTTCACCATCGCCGACACCACGACTCTAGATGGTAAGTTATCACAGAAGTTGAAGATACTCAGGACGTTTTCTGATCATTCTGAAGCTTGAAGCTGAGGATTGTCCTAACATTCCTGAGCATCTAATGCTTGAAGGAGATTCAGACGTACTGCATTTCGGACTTTTAGTATGAACTTGCTGAAAAAAATTTGAAGTTATCGGCCACCAGTAGCTTAGTATAAAGGGGCCGATACTTCTCATCTCCCTAAATCAACGATCGTCTGTCAGAGAAAGGACTTGGATGAAACAGATGAAGCTGGCTTCAGGATTGTGACAAGCATTTCTATGTAAGTCCGCTGTACCTTATTGGCAACCCACCTTGAAGTCTCTTACTGCATGTACCTCTACTGTCGACCACTGGGTTTAGAACGGCCCAAGGCTATCCCGTCTCTATTGTGATACCGATTCATCCTGCTCCTCTGACACCATCACAAAGATACTGGACCTTACCGCGGTGTGACGATAACCCATACTCGTAAAGGTACGTGACGCTCCGACAGGCTCTCATACCAGGTTGGATATCCGGTTAGAACAAACTCCAGGTCCACCAGGTCGAGAGTTGGAACAGTTGTGGTGACTTGTCCCTCAAAATTTAGATTACCCTGACCCTCACGCCAACCATCCCTGTCCTGTACCTTGAGGAAAACCTCCCACGTATCATGACAGTATCCCTGCCCATTTGCAAGTCTGAATTCCACAATTACGTATAATCTCACGCCACATCGACCGTCGTGTGGTGCTACCAGCATACAGCAGGGCTGTAAGGCGAAGACAGCCTACTGCTGACGGCTCCTTTCTTCTTTCGTACATTCACACTTTTCCTCTCGCAATTCCGTTGCTAGAAACATCTCCGTAGGCTTATTCTTAATGACTGACAGATCCGTTGCCCGCCCATTGATGTTAGCTACAGTATCTACACCACAGTCACAGACACTTCAGAATAAATCCCCAAACCCCGACGCTCATCTTATTTGGCAGTATTCAACGTTCGCTGTCTGAAAAAAGCCGGAGAGCAGAGCAGTCTTGCATTCACGATGGACTCGTCTTCTACTGATGTGTGTTGCCATCTGAAAAGAGGACCCAAGTAAAGCTGTTAAAATGACCTTCCCGAGGTTTCCTCTTGTTTCCATTTGCGCAGTTGTGGTGATCCTGGAGGCACTGGTTCTGTTGGTAGCTGGGATGCTACCAAAGACAGAAGGCGAACATTGGGCGCAGACATTGTTATAGTTGCTGGGCTATGAATGCGCAAGTAGGTGGATTTAACTTTGCTGACGCTCAAGTTGGTGGTCATCTATTACTGGAGTCGAAGAGCACGGACAAAGACAAACGCCTTCTACAGTTATGTGCTGACCACAGATTGTATCTGTGCAAACGAGGCCACCTGTCTATATGTTGCTCCCCACCCCATGTGAGCCAACCTCCAACCCAGATAGACCACATCGCCACTAGCTAAAAATGGTGTAGGTCATTCACTGAAAGTCGGTCGTCCTGGGACACGCGCCCGGTCGCCGCTGCTACTTGTTGTTGTACAAGATGCACACACCTCACAAGGATATTGTGATGCTCTCCGGCCCTGCTGTGAAACAAATCTATCAGAATAACCTATGCGATCCGTTCAAGATAACACATCTAATATCGAAGTTGCTTTCCAAAACCCTGCGAGATATTGGGCACTGCTTATGGAATGGCGTAACCAACTAGATTCAAGCGATGGATCCAGAGTAACACTCTGAAACTGCTCGAATGATGTGGTGGCCAATCGGTGCTAGTATCGTTTGTGATGGCAGTTTCTATCCAGGTTATCTGACTGAGAATTAGAGGTATAGGCACCTCGGGTGTTTTTGTGTGCTAGAGCAAGGACCACTTCCTCTCCCACTTTTCCCTTCCTTTCTTTACACAGTTTCATTCCAATAAATTGCTGTCAAGTACCAGTGTTCTCCTCTGGTGTTGTCACTTGATGGTGATGATGATGATGATTAATGATGATTGATGATGATGGTGATGATACTACTCCACCAAGGAGCGTTTCCATTCCCACCGATTCGCTCCATAGAGGGGAAAATTTTTCTGCAATTGCATAGGCTTGCTTTTGTAACTGTCTACCGCGTACTGGTGCAGCTAATATCAGCGGTTGTCCGTTGTGTGTAATAAGACGCCTGCATTCGCAGCGTTATGGTGTCGGTGGTTTTATGTATTCTCCCGTATTTGTAAGGCGCTATCACTTCTTGCAAGCTAAACTGATCTTCGTGAGGCCATGATAGCTGTTACCTGGTGGCTGCTGGATACACAGCTTTTGAACATCGTTTGGGTGTCTTATGAGCACAAAATCTAGTGTGCTCGATATGCTCCCTAATCCTCCTATATGTTTAATGAGAGCTGAGTCATGTAGCAGCATCATTAAATGATCCATTTAGATAGCTTTGTAACTTCCAGACTACATCATTCAAGCAGTGAATAATCTTCTTCGATCTGGTCAACACCGTAGGCAAACTACTACTAGAGATCTGGTTTGAATCTGAAGTTCAAAAGCTGTACGCTAAGAGTGATCAACATAAAGCGTAATCGTTGTATGCATTAATTTGCCATTAGGAGAATGGTCCCAACCGTGTGTCGCCCATCTCCCTCTCAGCTCTGTAAACCAGATATCTCAGGGGACGTAAGTTAGCGGTAGATGTAGCTGACTTTATCCACGTTTATGTGACTGCTGTAGCACTGTAGCATCAGATATTTCAGCTCTCAGCCCAGCCCACTTTTTATGCTCATGTTCCCAAGAACCCAAATTTTTCAACCGGCTGATGAAGGTCAGGAGCTACCTCTCTCGGACACAAAGCCCGATAGTTGTATACTTTTTATCGCATGGTTATCCGGGCCACAGTAAGTGGCTCATGGCGCCTCTTCTAGGTGCATTCAAGTAGGGGGTGAATGATGCCAAGAAATCAGTAGAGCATCTTCTACCATCTGCGTCACGTACATCGCGTCACGTGCACAGAGCTGTTTGAGTGCGAGTCTCGGTACGCAATTTGCATGCACAAACCGTTGTGACTGTCTTTGCATATAGTACGGGCTGTGTACCGTGTACTTTCATCGCCTCTGTGCGCTGGCTATATGTTTCAGAATCGGAACAATTCTGAGCATGATTATCTGGAGCCTTTCGTACATATTCAGCCGAGTCTCGATTCGGTAATAGCCCACCCTTCCACTCTCCAAGCCCTAAATTTCTACTTCTGAGAACGTGATTTCCAATGCTTACCATCGTAACTAGATTAACGATGAGGTATTTGATCACTCTCTTCCCCTGTCCACCATCTCTCGCGATTAGCTCTGGAATCCCATGGATAACAATGATCTTGTGTCCACAAGATACAAGGTCTACATTTCTCTCTGGTTCCCCGGGAGCCTCTTTGGTAGCCCTCATATTCATGATGTCCTCCGTGCCCACTTTATTAGTCTAGTTTAGGTTGCCTCGATCCCGAACTAAGGCCGCCACCATGTCGTCGTGGTCGGACTTAGTACTGAAATGACCCTGTGAGTCACGCTTACTGGATCTCAATTCCTTAGGGTTCGGTCATGCAAGGGAAGCCATTGGGAAGCAGCCTGACAAAGAACGGCGGGTCCCTGTACTTCTAGTAGTTTCACTACGATTCGATCCGATCCGGAGGTAAAGTCGTACTGTCCTCTACGATAGGAATGTTGAGACGGTAAGGTATTCTCTTCAAGCAAACATGTTTATGGGTGCAGTGACGTTGTCTCCCTCCTCCCGAGGAAGGAGAGATTGTAAAAAATCTGACCCTAAAAAACCACTCCGATCGCCCGACGGTTAACCGTGACTACCGCCACACTATTCAATACGGTCAAAATATTTTTAGAACCAAACAATCTGTTAATATTGTGCGCACCCTGCATCCTCAGGCCTGACTAACCACTACAGTCAAGTGGTTCAAACCGTATAGGGTCCCTCAATAAAACCGTAACAACCGCTAACTCGCGGTCCAGAGATCTCCAAGCAACTCCCTACATCCTGCCACTGACTCATGGGCCTGATTTTGAGTCAAATGCTCAAGGTAGGGCATCTCAACCAAGCCCCATTCTTCAGCCTGGACACTCAGGAAGTATCATTCCTCTTTAAAGCTCTTCATTCGCTGACCCCTACTCACATGTCCCTCACCCGAGGCCTTTTGTTCAATCGGAGGTTGGACAAATAGCTAGAATCTGAGATGAGGATCATTAGACTTGGATGGTTCACAAGTGTGCGCCATAGTATTTTGATTTACAGCCCTCAAGTTAATCGTCCCAAGATATACCCAGCTGCATCGATGAGGGTATGATTTGCCCCCATAGTTTCCGGTGCTTGTATTTCCCTCTAAAACCTTAATGAAAGAAAAAACTAATTCACTGTGTATGCTAGGGTTTTGGTGAGGTTTGCACACCATACACTATCCCGGTTGGAAACACTGGTACTAGGTGAGTTCAGTCCTCTGTCGGCAGACAACAACAATAAGTACCACAGCCAGAACCACAAGACGGATTTTAGATAGACGCCATTTATTAAAAGAATTCGGAAGGGTGGACGTCCAGTTGACGAAAATCAATCAGATGAGACTTTTATTTTTTTCCAAAAAGTTGTCATCAACTGTGAGATTGGTATGGAATGATGAAACACACAGACATACCGATGGAATTAACTCTTATCTAATCAACGAGTACCAATTTATGTTTTTTGGCCTCATATTAAGGGTTTGTTTCTCTCGAAAGTACACAGAAATTGCAGAAAGATGGATGAATTCAAACCAATACTCCCTGTCATTAAAGAGAACTTTGAGAACAAGTGATTTCCAGATTAGCCAAACCTGCATAAAAGCAAACGTAATAAAAATAATTCATCACAGATAAATTAATACGGAGAATGAGCAAAAGAATTAAGTTCGAGAAACCTCGCACAACAAAAACGAAACTCCAACAACCAACGAAATATTATACGCTGATCCAATTCATCCCGTTTTATCGACTTGAACCGGTATTGCTATCTATACGTATTATAACAATGGATATTGTGTTCGTTTTCAACGTTCACTTATGGACTAACTAAACTCCAACCAGGAAACATTAGCACGCAGTTTGCCAGCTGTGTTTGTGATTATTAGTCTGTTGAAGGCGATAATCCACGAATAGGTAGGACTAAATGGTTTAAGCAACTTCCATTGCGAACTTTTTCTGTTTGAGATGGTAGACCGTCGGTGATAGACCGATTGTGTCATCGAGTGGCGATTTCGATGAAATGAAATTTTGTATCTTCAGTGGCAGGTGTCTCTTTTTCTGAGATCCCAGTGAGCACGAATTACTCTTCTACAGTACCCACGCATATGGTATTCGTCAGCTCAGTACGGATGAGTGACGTGGAAATGTCTTAATTGTCACATCGATGTTGTTCGATGGAACAGTGAAATCCGTGGAAACTACTGGAAACTTGGTGAATATCGAGTTGACCAGAGTTCATACTTGCTTTATTCCAACTTTATTATCATCAGTCTGCGTTTCGAATGTGATTTGTCCAGATGATTAGCACTCTCAGTCTATGCTGGACGAGGCCAGGCAGAGTTCAGTTATTCATTAGCATGCCAAGCTCGACATAAGTCGTAGAGGGCTTACGATGTGTTCGAATAAAAATCAAGCAATCTAAGATGAAATCACTATAGTATTTTGCGTTTATGAAATTCCGCCACCTCTGATCCACATATCATCGCATTATGAATAGCGTTTGCTGTTATAGCCCTTGTGTTAAAGACGTCATTTGTTTTCGAAAATATCTGGGGCGAACTGTCCACACATGAATGCGCGTGGTTTCCAGCACTCGTTTCATATCGGGACTTTAGTTTGTATAACTAGTTTATCCTGCTAGTGTTGTGGAAATGATCAGCCACTTCAAGTCCCACTCCACGAACAATTTTGAACTCATCCTTAATAGCGCGTTAACCTGCAAGCGGATGGAGCATGCTTAGAAACCAATAGGGTTGGTTCGACCTTTGTTGCTATCTTAAGCGTAATCTAAACGGATGCCTGTCTTGTCGGCATCAATCTTGCTGTTCGAATAAGATAACTTCGGTTTCCTGTGAAATAGTAATATACACTCATAACTCCATGGTACTGAGATTCAATGGTCTATTTGCGCCATTTTCTTGAAGCAACCACCGACTAGCTACGCTATCAACATATTACTAAAAAGCAGAGCCTATGCATCACCTTCTGCCTGACGGACAGCGTTCACACAATACCATTACGATGCGCCACCGCATTTGTTAAACTTTGCTTGAATATACCACACTATCTGTGTCATCATTTTGCTTTTCCGCCTTATGGAATGACTATCCTCCACCCAACCAGTCGAATGAGCCATTACTAATCGCTGACAGCTACATGTTTAAAAGAACTATTGGAATTTTGTTTACGGACTGTCATCAACGTCACAAAGACATCATTTCGCGAGTAAAGTACAGCATATTTTTGATAACACAACTTCAAGCAGTTCCATGCTTGCTCTATACGGAAAGGTTGACCACTTGCAAGTACACAGATAAGTACGCGTTCAGTGATGGGGCGGAAATCGCGTACTGATTTCAGATGGTCCGTGTTTTCTGCCACATTCGACCTGGCCTCGTGCAACCTATGGCTTGAAAGAGTACTCATTTCTAAACGCAGGAACATTGAATGGTTACTAGCGTAAACTGGTTTGGGTGTGGTTCATTACCTTATCACTTCGGAGGGAAAACACCTTTTTCAATGCAATCCTATACATTCTGTCTTCGTTTTGTACAGACAAATGTACATGCATGCGCTTGCAAGTGAAACCGTGCATCACATAAGCCACACAAGAAGTAAGGGGGTAAAACCGGTAGAGATGTTTTCTATCGTCGATGGCGCGCAGCCAGTCGGGGGGATAAGAAATATGGCGGAGTGGTGCAGCAGGGTCGGGGTGGACGCTGATAGAAGAGCAAACAGGTGCAAAAGGAATATGGTGTCGTGATTGAAATATGTGAGCATATCTCAATATGGAGAACAAAGGTTAACTAGGGAAAGCCAAACCATGACTCTTCCAAAATCCAGGAACCATGTGCGAAAGCATTTATAGTGAAAGCACTGTTGTTTTCGACTGCGAATGACCGGCCGGGAACAAAGTATGCATATCTTGTGCTCTGGACTCAAAAGCGAGTCAACAGGACTGCGTCTGTATTGTCTCTACCTCAGACGAGTATAAAAAACAGCAAAAGTAGGTCAGCTGACTACGACAATCAGAAAAGAGCTCGGCTCTGGCAGCAGTAACCCTTCAGGGCACTACAGGGACGTATAGTTACAAGTTTTGGCGCTTTTAAGTACAAATGGGTGATAATAGAAACATATGCACATAAAAACCAGTCGTTCTTATCCAACTATACACTGCTTTTCAGGAGCTCTGAGAAGCCCTGTGCACATGTGAATTGTGGGATGCGACTAGGCGGTTTGCTGGCGTTGATAGTCGTATGGGGTGTATGAGCAGGGAATCCACACACAGAGGGGACAACAACGGGATGCGCAGTGAAAGGCATGGGGACCGTTTGATAAAAGTCTCGGCCTATTGCACAATCACCGGAACAAATCAAAACACATGCACAGCCGTCGTTTGCCAGAACAATGTACGAGAAAACTGAGGGGTAAAATGCGATAGAATAAAGGTATGAATAAGCACTGCCTCTAATGTTTGATGGTGCATGTATAAACGAAATGAAATGTTAAAATGCATTGTGAATGTGACTGTTCACCTCCAAACACTGCTGAGGATTAATCATGAAGACGTGACTTTGGTTCATCACAACTGCATTAAGAAAACACCAGATGCACTCTGAATAGTCACAGTTGATAGCCCACACCAAAAAAATTTGACATGATTTTTAAACTGTCGCATGTAGTGACTAGTGTTATCATTGCGGCAACGAAACTTATTGAAGGACTTCCAAAGGCTCATGTTCACTAACAATTAAGTAGTAGGCTATTTGTCCGGATTCGAGTATTAGTTGTATGGACCGTAGTTCATGTTATCTGCATTCATCGTGGACACATTGCACACGATCATGTTGGAACTAATCACGTCACAACCAGAAGGCGGCAGAATGTTTTGAGCAGCGGTTGGAGCTTCTTCAAAAATAGAGTGAAGTGATGGGCTGTACATCGGGTGTGGAGTGGAAAGATGTGAATGATTTTCAACACCGAGATCAGGGCGATTAATTAAGGGTACCGCAGCTGTGGGACCTCTGATGTTGTGTGGTGCGGCACTTGTTGTCACCATGGAATGGTCCGGACAATTTGAAGTTGGAGTGCGTTCTAAAGGAAGGTACTGATGTGTTTGGATAAATGGTTGGGCGGTCTGAGACTGATTTGTTCCCATCTGACAATGCGAAGAAGGGGAATGGCACATGGTTTCGGTCGTATATGTGTTGTATTGAGTAGGTGGATGTGAGCATCTTGAAGCTGAGGTTTCGTTATGCATGTGTGTTTGTTGTGTGTCTTCAGATGGAATGGTGTACGTCAAATTCAGTTCATTTGGTACCATCCGACTTGTTCGTAAGCATCGATCATTCAAAGGCTGTGGAAACTCGTGTCCAGGGTGTCTTGGCCATTGAGGCTCCACACGCCCAGCATATCCACAGGTGGATTCTGGATTGGAGCGTGATTGAAGTGGTTCTGAGAAGGTCTGGGATATATGGAAATTTTCATGAGATACTGGGAGCAGGTCGTTATGCACCGAAGTAGGAGAGACGTGATCAGAAGGAACACTTGCTTGTCGATGTAAGGTTTGACGTGAAGGAGTCCAATGGGGGTATGCAGTGTGAGGGTGAGATAATGCACGCCAAGCTTGCACCTCATTCGGTGTGCTCGCAACGGGGGGTAGTGTGCGCATTTCCGCTTGTGTTCCATTGTGATGCCCTTTGAAGTACGATGACGGGTCAAGATAGGTGGTTACCAGGTTGTCTGTATTTGACGCTTGAGCGGACGGATCTGAGTATCCAAAAGAAATCTGGTTTCGTGCATAGAAAGAGTGGTCGGGTCCTGGACAGAATCGGTGTAAACAGCTTTCGGGTTTCCATTGATCCGCTATATTTTCCGCTGTGCCCGAATCGTGCATTGGAGTGCGTTGCCAAGGTGACCAATGTGGAGTATAAGTCGATATTTGTTCGGGTGGATTAGACATATGACCGGAGTGGATAGGAGACGACTGGTTAATGTTAGGGCAACCAGGTAAGGCACAGACACAAGACCAAATTAAGCCGTGATGTGGTTCAGTTTGCTGCTGAGGTAGATTTTTAGTTCCAACGCCACACATATCCCCAGTGCCTCGATTTGCATAAGTGGGAATATGCGGTTGAGGAGTCCTCACAGTGTTACTGTCGTTGGTTATGCCACATCCACTTCCGGCATTCGAAGAGCCCATCGACCCAAGTCCGCTACTTACTTGTGAACTGGTAGCGGAGAGTCTTTCAACGTCCACCTGAGACATACAAGACTGACTCACTGGTTGTTGACGAGGGTTACTCAGGGGATTAGTAACTGCCGACGGGGAACAACGACATTGGTTTGAAAGATGGGTGTGACAGTCAGAGGCAGCAGTACAGCTGTCTGCTTCGCGTGAATTGACCATGACTGATGGCGGTGGTGTAGGAAGAGGACTTGATGAAGACCGAGTACGATAGGCAGCAAAATTGGAAGCACAATCTGGAGGTGGGTCGTGCTTCGGGTTTTGGAATCCAGTCTGCACAGTAACTCCCGAACCGATTCCAGAGGAAGCCGTACCACTCCCCCGTTCCCAGTGATCTGTAATAAGAAAATACGGCTAGCTTACCGATGCATTCTTAATTGATTCCCAAAATGACAGTAGTTAATGTGGAAAGAGGCAGTTAACTCTAAATATGTCGTAATACTTCTTCGAGCAACTCAACTCTGCCGCGAGGTGTCAGTTCGCTTGTCGTGCCCGTTGGGAGTCCCCAGTATGGCACGTAAAATTTCGGCAACTTCCTTTTAAGGACTTTCCACAAATTGATGCAGTGTTTATATTTCACCCGGCGTAGTACAACACGAACACCATATAGGATGAAAATGTCTTAGCAAGATACCACATCCTCTCCCAAATATAATGGCGCCGCATAGTGGAGCAACGTTATCAGGAACGGTAGAAGTTTTATCTCTGGAAGAGACGACTCACAAATGCGAAAAATAAGTGACTTTTATTCAGTAGCAAAAGCCGATCCGGTAAATAATCACCGGCATTGTTTAGAAGGCGTGTCAAATGTTCTTGCTACACTAAACATCCTGCGAAATTAACCAAGGTGAAGAAACATTGGCTCCCTAAATTTGCGAACTAGATCAAACGACGTTACTGTTTATCCACTTCGGTCACAGATGAGGAAAACGATTCTTTTATTAGACCCCGTTAGACGTAGAGTTATTCGTTTGAACACTGCCAAATAGCAGGAACTTTGACGATGAATAAAATAAGGAATAAACTAAAATTCTGTAACCCCCCGATATGAAACGAGTGCTGGAGATTATGCACACCCATGTGCGGACAGTTCGTCCCTGAAATTTTTGAACACAAATAACGTCTTTACCACAAGGTGTATAACAACAAACGCTATTCACACTGGGATGATATGAGGAGCAGAGATGGCAAAATTTCATAAATGTAAAAAAACTACAGTAATTTTATCCTAGACTGCTTGATTTTATTAAATATAGAGTAAACACTCTACGACTTATGTCAAGCTCGGCAAATTAATGAATAACTGAACTCTGCCTGGCCTCGTCTAGCATAGACTGAGAGTGCTAATCATCTGGACAAATCACATTCGAAACGCAGACTGATGATAATAAAGTTGGAATAAAGCAAGTATGAACGCTGGCCAGCTCGATTTTCACCGAGGCCCCAGTAATTTCCGCGGATTTCGCTGTTCCATCGAACCACATCGATGTGACAAATAAAATCTTACCGCGTCGCTCATCTGAACTGAGCTGATGAATACTATATGCGTGGGTACTTTAGAAGAGTAATTCGTGCTCAATGGGACCTACGAAAAAGAGACACACCGCCACTGAAGATATAAAAATTTCATTTCATCGAAATCGCCACTCGATGTTCGCAAGGGTCTACCACCGACGGTAAAACCCTATCTGAATCTACAGACTCTTGATCTAACATCAAATAGAAAAGTTCGCAATGAAAGTTGCTTAACCCATTCAGTCCTATCTATTCGTGCATTATCGCTTTCAACAGATTAACACTCGCAAGCACAGCTGGTAAACTGCGAGTGAACGTGTCCTGGTTGGAGTTTAGTTAGTCCATAAGTTAACTTTGAAAAAGAACGCAGTACCGGTTGTTATAATGCCTATCCGTTGTAATAGCGATTCAAGGCGATAAAACAGGGTGAGTTGGATCAACGCACATTGGTTAGTTAGTTGTTGGAGTTTCGTTTTTGTTGTGCGAGGTTTCTCCAACTCAATTCATTGCTCATTCAGTTGGATCAACGCACATTGGTTAGTTAGTTGTTGGAGTTTCGTTTTTGTTGTGCGAGGTTTCTCCAACCTAATTCATTTGCTCATTCTCTGCATTCATTCCTCCGTGATGAATTCTTTTTCCTGGTTGCTTTTATTCAGATTTAGCTAACTGGGAAATCACTTTTTCTCAAATTCCTTTATAACGGGAGCCAACATATTGGCCATACACAGATTCACCATGTTGTGGAAGGGTGTTGTGGGCTATTGCCCGTAAAGGCAGTGAATCTCAGAACAAACAACAAAATCAAAACCGTTCCCACGGAGGATTTTACTAAATTTGAATGTAAATATGGAGTGCGGTTTCATGGGCGATTGTCTCACTAGGAAAAGCCCCATAGACGAGATATTTCTGAAATTCCTGCAGATGTTTTCCCAAAACTAGCAGGGTACAATTACTCTGTCCTTCTCTTCACACTTTGGATCCAATATCACTCAGGACTGATGATTTGTGCTTCGGAAACGCTAAAACTGCCACCTACTACTTCACTGATTATGGTCGGATGTAAATTTGTTCCAATTCAACCAAATTAACACAATCAGGAAACAGGCACTATTGTTACTTCCACTAAACTGTTGGTTACTACACTGAGTGAGTCCAAAATAAACCGATCTTGCTCGATTATCCATCCAAATGAAACGACTGTTAATTACTCAACCACTTACTTTAAATCTATGAGGATTTTCTCCGGAGAAGTCAAAGCATGGTTCTGATAAGCTTAGCGATATGGGACCACCATCAGCTTTGAATTGAAGATCTGGTTATCCAAACTATTCGTTATTACTCCATTCATATAATGTACTTGAAGATCGCGCAGTCTCCTTGGTCAACCCACCCACGCCTCTGCGGATACTAAAAGTAGCTACAGACTACTTTAAACGGAATGAAAATCCAAATGTTTAGCGGCTCCCGAAGGGGATAACGTTGAGCAGATCGCCTATGGTGCCATGCATCAGGTACTGATACCAAAACTTCGTCTTATTATTGGGCTACCTGTTCATGTTTACCATTCCGATTATCCTTTGAGGTCTGCCGTTTCAAAGACCACAGATAAAATCCAATGACACAACCGGAAAACTAATCCGGCTTGTTGACGCCTCAATGACAACCGCTGGCTGCAGTGGCTATATTCTAAGAAGACACCTTAAAGAAGATAGTGTAGTGTTATAAATTAAACGTCTTGCCTCGCTAGAGAATGTTCTCTTAGGATCTTTCAGAACTCTGGCTCAGAACAACCGAGATTCTCCGTAAGAAGCACCACATGTTGTGAGTCAGTTCGATTAATTTCCGTTGCACCAGTAAAAAATGACACACACTTTTGGTGTTTGCCAACATCCAGCTAAATAAAGATACTCTGAACTTCGGATGCGATGGCCTTCATTTGCCTAGCTAAGTCTCGTTAATTCGTACTTTATCTCCAGTTGCATACGGATACATGGTTCCATAGAGGGTAGATTTCAGACAATATTCACATTTGCACAAGGTTAGTAAAATCTTCGGTTGTTTCCATTTCCTAAATGTCTTTCTGAAAGGATACGTTGAACTCCAGACCAAAACCTGAGCTTGCAAGACGGCTTGAATGATATGCACCCAGAAAACATACGGTATGTTCACCTGATGAGCGAGTTTGAGTGTTCGGGTTCGGGTCCGAGAATTCCATCTCTTTTCTTCTTGTCTTTCTCTCATCAACGGACCACTCAAACGCACTGTGGGAAACATCTCTACTTGCTTATCGTGTGTGATCTACGGGTTCGCTGCTAAGCGATACACAAAAAAGTGGGTGTTCCCAAAGAGATGAGTGTGATAAAGGTAACTCCAACCGCATCACAAGCGCTCAGTAGCCCATCCCCTATTGAAAAACGAAGCCATTTCTGACGCCGACAAGTGCAAACTCTATGTAATTTTAAGTAGTAGTTTTATCCCCCTTTATCACAAAGGATGTGCTACCACAGCATCGTTCTCCCGTCTGGTGGTGCATGCCTTCAGTTTGAGCATGGGCAAACCTACAAAAAATTTTGGGTATCGTACGGCCTGATAATTGTTTATTACTTGTAACCTTGTCAGTAGTATACATATGTTGTAGTTTATTCAGGACCTGGATCTGGTGATACGCCATGAAGCATAGTTTGAACAGTCGTATTTTCGCCCGACTGTGAACATGGGTAACATCCTAAAGAGGGATACACCCGGTGATACAATCGGTCCCAACTTAATAATGCTATTCATGAGCCACTGTCTTCGTAACGGCGATAAAAATAATATTGTAATATATTCCCAAAAAGCCGTAAGAAAGTGGAGTTATGATGAACCTCCGATCACTGCACAGCCCGAACCAGCTGGTGGGTGCAGCACAAATCCGGTAGTGCAGCTGATAGGAAAATGGAGAGCAGAGAACTGGAAAGTTCACGGTTTCACCTGAGAAAAAGCTACATACACATAGAACCACCACCAACTTTAAGAATAATACCAACATGTTGGTCAGTCGAACGCCTACCGAATCCCACATGATACTCTTAGTCTGATTTTCTCCAGCGTGCGATCTGCGTATACGAAAGCCTGAGTGCAATGACTTCCAGGTAACTGTATTTGGTGTTGTTATCATTTCACGGGAATTTTCATGTTCAAACGGTGAGGCGCAAAACTAACTAATAAGAGGTGACAAAATATGACATTTGTTGATGCCTGCATACCATGCGATGAAGAGATCTGATCGGGTCCAGGAATCCTGGTTAATGAAGGCAGCTCACACGGCCTGATAAATTCGACTCCTGGTTTGATGTCCACTGCAGCCGGCGAGGTTTCATGAACCGATTGAGATAGCGTCTCACGGGCCTCGCTCCCAACGCGCAACGTTTGCTCCACTGTCCAAGGTTTGACAGTCGTCTGAGGGTTCTCCACATCTAGCGCTCCAACCGGCTGTGTCCCAGGAGATCGCTGAGTGGTCCAGTTTGGAGCACAAGAATGGTTCTCTATTTTGATGCGCATGTTTTGTGATACGTGGGACGGGAAACCGGTCACAGGAGAGGTATTCCAAGACGATATGTGAGCATTCAACGAAGAATTCTGAGCTGACTGAGCGGCCACAGACTTCTCAACGATACCCTAAAGAAGTCAGAAGTGCAGAGATGATCACAACAACTTAGAGCGGTAAAAACGTTTTAACCTGACAGCAGACTCCTAGTAATCATGTAAAGAGTTCTGACTGTGAAATTTATGCTCACATTTCGATTGAAATTCGTCCCTTTTTATAGGGTCAGAGATGGCGAAGTGCGCTATACTGTGCTTGTATCAGGACTAGTCTGGATAAATAATTACCTATGTGAGGACGCATAAGTAGAATCACTGAATGTGCTTATAAGGTCCGATAGTTCAAGGTAGGAATTTCACCTCAGTCCTTTTGATCGAAAGAGCAGTGCATTTGATATCTCAGTGAATTGATTCAATTGGCTATTAAGGGACGTGCACTAAATTACCTGTAGGGTGAACTGCGCATTCATTTCAAGCAAAATGCTTAGAAAGTAGTAGTCTTGTCACTTTCAGAAGTGTGACCTTCCCCAAAATATTGCGTTTTTCCTATATCGTGCTCTGGAGTCGGAAAGTGAAGATTAGCGGGACCGAACGAACTAAGATGAGGAAGAGATCTGAACCCAAGGTAGCAGTCGACGCAAGATCTGCGTACAACAAAACAGGGGTACTACCAACACAAGGATAAAGTAGCTGTCAGGAAGAGACACCGTTTTGGATGAACTGGAAGATGCTTGGAAGTTTAGACAAGTTTAGATAGATATATTCACACGAGAAACCGAAGGCTCTTGGTCGATTGGTCTTAATAACGCCCAGTCATTTCCAAGCTCAATTATCAAGAATCCACAACGAGGTAATATATGACCAAGGGTCCCACGTTAATAGGACTAAATCACTGACCGCCATGTGCCAGATCTGTAGGTGATCAACTGTTCAACATCCCCATTCCATTTCCACGACTTGTTTCTGTCAACAAAATGCAGAGGGTAGAGTATAAGCAGCTCGGACGGACTTGAACTCTTTGCAGGCTAAGGCTTCTGAATGAAACGAGACAACGCTGCAGATCAGATGAATGCATGCTGCATCCTGCTCGATAATTGCTTTTTCGTTCTTGCTAATTTTCGGCGCATGTCGATAAAATAAATGGTTACGTTAAATGCTGCATGTAACCGAAGTGAAGAGTCGCCCTATGAAGCAAACAGGTGGTTGGAACCGGTACACTGGAATCATATACCTTGAGTATACAGTACGTAACTGGAGCCAGATGTCACGTGACCGACCGTCCTACACTCACATGCTGACACACAACACATGTGATAACCTTCGAAACTGTCTGAATTTCCTCTGGAAACACTCAGGCAACGAAACAGAGATTCATGAATTCTAAATCTTCCCATCCTCTGAACTTTGGTCATCGGAGTAAGATAGCTGTAGTCGGTCACCCAACTGCATAAAGCCCGTTTTTATCAGTTAAATAAATTTGAAAATACCAGCTGGACTTCAAGCTCGGTGCAGGTAACGAAAGCGACAATGCTGCCAGCCTTTTGATCTATTCTCAGCTGCAATGCTGGTCATGCTGCCCTTGTCCTTGCAGCTATCAAGTCTATACCAAATTTGAAGTGAACGTCCAAAGTTGTGTTTGTGGCAAATGTAGGACAGATTATCCTGCTGCCTAAACATCTCACCATCTTCGCCCCGTTTTCATATTAGAATATCATGATGATGATGATGAGTAAAAACATTCCGCTTAAATTTAAAGGTGACCTAAGTGTTGTTTATTACACTTTCAATAAACCCAAAGGGTTGTGTTGCGTGCACCTTGTGAGTGCTCTGAGATTCAGCTGTCAAAGCAGTAAATCTCATGCTATGCATTTTTGAGATTCCCATATTTAATCCAAACTTAATTGCCTTTACTTTCTCGCTAAGACGCAAAGAGCTATGGATAAAACGTAGGTAACTTCAACAAAAGAGTAAAAAACGGATGGTGTGAACCAGACGGATGAGGACCCACTGCAAAATCCCTTCTCTCGGTTGGTGTAGTGAATCAGCTCCACAACTGCACATATCGTCACATTGTCCCAGGAGCACAAGGATATCCTACTCGTCAAAAAGCGAAAACAAGGACTTTTTGGAATACAAAGTATACCATTCTGTTTATGACAACTGATAATCCATCTCTATCGCTCGCCCGTTAGCTCGTTCGTTCGTCCGTTCATTCATTCTGTCTTGCACAAACGTGCCCGAGGATATTTGGCCACAGCTGACAGCTATGAGTGATTATGATAGCAGGCCAGTACACAGAAACCTACCTGAAATTGACTTCGGAAAACAGTACAATATTCGTTGCCACGGCGACGGTTAGTAATAAATTACGGGTAGGACCGCAAACAAGCACTAGTGTGTGTATATTTGTGGAAGTAAGGCAGCGGACAAAAGAAAATTAAGAGTTGAAATTATGATGAAGTCGGGCTGACTGGGCCACCCATGTGGACAGGACTGTAGTTCAGACACGTGTAGTTTCTGATGGAATGTGTTTGTGTTTCCCGTGGCAAGGCTATGTGGAATGATTTAAACCAGTAGTATGTGTCAACAACTGTGCAACCATCAACAACACCACACGACTAAGCATCTTCTGGGGTTAATTGAAAGGTATGGTGTTTGGAAACGTTACAGTGACATTTTTTTCTAAAAAATGCAAGCAACCGATCAAGTATAGAATCCTGTTGACATCGCCGCACCATAGTATGGGGTGATTGTCACAGTACAAATTACTGCTTCGCTTAGAAGACCAAAAGGTTGTAGAAGCGAGATACTTATGACAAAGCTTGTAGTGAGCACGGCTTATGAGGGGTCTCACAAGAATGCTTCAATATTTTGGACAAGGGCAAGTACCTAGAAGACGCACAGTCCCTTGTAAATTATGTTAGTTCCAATGAGAAAATCAACTGAATCCCAGCTGAAACCCTAGCTTATGATATTCCTTAAAATGGTGAGTCTCAAGAGCAATGAAACCGGTCATGGAGTTTCGAAAAATTTCAGCAGCCTTATGAGTTATCCGCTCAATCAAGAAAATGTATCGTCCAGTTGCCTAATGGTTAATACGTACTAACACTTCGTTTGTTCAGCATCGGCGTCACAAAATATACTTATCTAAAGTCGTGATACACTATTCATGAAGTTGCTGAAAACTCTTTGACAGACCACAACTAGTTTCCCTCTTCTTGGGGCACAGTCCCCGAGTTCTACTTGAACCTGAATTGCACGAAATTAGCAAAATACACTCATTTGCATACCAATTTGGTTTTGACGAGAGACTCGCCTGCAATCCATCTGAATTTCTCGTTTATGATGTTTTTAAGCAACTGAATGTGCTGCACCAGGCCGCCTCATTTTTCGGTTGGCACGATATTCGAGATGTCGCGATACATAAAATACATACATACATGCATAAAAACATAAAATAAAAAACAAAATAAAAATAATAAAAATTAAAAATTAATCCTTATCTTGATAGGCGCCAGGAGTCTTGAGGAAATGCTTCCCTATCCAGTGTGCTTCAGATCTTTATGACCGGGTCCAGTAGACCTAAGAATGACGTGTGCAACACTCAAAGTTTGTACCTACACGATGGCTAAACTTTCGGATCAGAAATGGTGCGCTTTTTGTAGCGGCACTGCCGATATGGCTCATCAGCCCTGGATAAATCACATAGCTATTAGACGCCGATGTTCCCTTTGATCTCCTACCGCATTAACAGACTCGGACTTTAGTCCAACACTGCGTGTGGCAGGCCGTCTGTCAAGCACAACAATGATCAGTTCGGAAAGCCAACTACATCAATACACGGGGTCAGAATTTGAAAATTCGCTACTACCAGTCGTTTAGTCTGTCATCCAACCCAACGGCAGACACGGCAGGACATTATCCCCGTTATGCATTCAAAATCGTAGTGTTTGTTTACTTTTCCTACTATCTGACGGCCAGTCAGTGCTCGTCTGTATACGTGCAGTTCATTTCAAATACGAGGCTCAATCCTCAATGCAGTTATCAAATTGCTGAATTCCAGGCTGTTCACGATCAATTCACTGTCGGCAATCTGTTCAATAGGTTTTGATAAACTGTTTAGACCTGGAGACCATTTGTGGGGCCTTTGGCTGTCGCTCCGATGGGTGGCACATGCACACAGGCCGGTCTCGAAAGTGCCGACACTGGCCCCAGCATGAAGCGCGACAGCTGATGATTGATAGCTATGTCAAACGGAAGTCCGTATTTAGATAAAGTGCATTTTTACCGCATAAAAATCATTGGTGGGTGGAGGGATACCATTTTTCGGACAGTGTAATGCCCTTATTTCGTACGATAAACTCCTGTTAACGTTACTATTTGCACAGCTATACGGAGTATACAGCATTACTTCCCAGAAGAACTTCTGTTATCTTTAAGCCGAAGAATGGTCATCTAATGTCGTCTAACATCTAAATTTTAATGCACAGTGGATAGAGTTTGGATCCCGATTGCAGTGCCAACCCTGGCAACCTGAGAGTAGTCTGATGCCAGCAAGACGTGGCTCAATATGAATTGCTGTTAAAATGGTCGATGCGCAAACGGGTCATTGGGCTGCCCAGCCGCGTTGACTAACGACCATCTCAAAAGTGAAGTCCCGTTAACTTGTTTTTTTCTACAGTTTGCGTTTGAAAATAAATAATTTTAGGACAATCCATATGCAGCCTTCAGTAATGGAAAACCGCGAACAGAACCAGAATTTTCATGAGAAAGAATGCCTATCTTAATGGGAGAGCCAAGATTAATCGGTTTCATCATTCTCCGCAAACTGCACGCGCTAAGAGACAGCGGAAGAACAATGCCTTGTTGATTTCTGAAGTTTGGTAGCAGAGACGTTCGCAACTTAAATGTCCCAAAAATTCTCTGTAAAGTATATTATTTATGGGTTAAGATCGGAAGCACGTCAAAATATGCATAAATGCATGTATAGTGTCCACAACCCTGATAGCGTCCCAAGTTGTTAAATGCACCAATCAAATGCCCTCCAACTAAACGCTGGAATAATCGGAGTTGCA